TAAATAAATAAATAAATAAATATAATTAATTAATTAATTAATTAATTAATTAATTAATTAATTAATTAATAAAAAGATTTACCCGTCAACTTTTTTTTCTTTGTTTATTAGAGAAGATAAAAAGGAAATGCTCCCTATACACCACAAATACACACAAGCTTGCTGCTGCTGCTGCTGCTGCTGCTGCTGCTGTTGCTGCTGTTGCTGCTGTTGCTGCTGTTAGTGTTGCTGTTGTTGTTGCTGCTGCTGCTGCGGCTTACGGATGCAGATGTCGTGCACCACCAACAGGTGGAGGAGAAGCACAAAGCGGATAGGAGCCTGCAGCAGCAGCAACAGCAGCAGCAGCAGAAGCAGCAGCAGCATGAGGAGTCGCAGCAGTTGTAGTAGGAGCAGCAGTAGGAGCAGCAGCAAGAGCAGCAAACAGCAGCAGCACAAGAGCAGCAACCGCCTCCGAAGCAACAGCAGCAGCAGCAACAAGCTCCCCTTGAACCCATACAACAAGGTCTCCCTCTGTTCCCCAAACCCTAAACCCTAAACCCTAAACCCTCGTAAACCCTAAACCCTAAACCCTAAACCCTAAACCCTACAAGGAAGAATGCGCCAAGGAGAATCCTAATGGTGGAGATATTATGCCAATCACTTCTCTTAAAGGGAGCGAATTGCTGCTGCTGCTGCTGCGTCAGTTTGTCCCATCCTGCTGCTGCAACACGAACCCAGCGTAGTGCTGCTGCTGCATAGAAGGTGTGCAGTGTACATACAGCCAACCACAGCAGCAGCAGCAGCAGCAGCAGCAGATGTATCCAACTCCATCCATCAGATGCAGCAGGAATATTCTTTAATGATCTAGGTTCTGCTGCTGCTGCTGTTGCTGCTGCTCCTGCTGCTCCAGTGGCTCCTCCAGCTACTGCTAGTGCTGCTGCTGCTGCTGCAGCAGCAGCTCCTGCTGCTGCACCGATCTTCTGCATTGCTGCTGCTGCTAAGAAAGGCTGCTGCAGCATCAATGCCCTCGTTATACAGAATAATCAAACTGCAGCAGTTTCCTGCTGCAGCTACAGCTGCTGCAGCTACGGCTGCCTGCCGCTAGAGCTGCTGCTGCTGCTGCTGCTGCTGCTGCTGCTGCTGCTACTGCAGCAGGGGAATAAGGATCAATGACCCTAAGGAGCAGAGACTAAGAAAACTAAATCTTCTTAAGAAGACAAAATTAAATAAAGATTTGCTGCTGTCGTTTATATTCAGCAATTCCTGCTGCTGCTGCTGCTGCTGCTGCTGCTGCGGTCCCGAAGCACAGCAGCAGCAGCAACTAGCAGCTAGGGATCTGCGACCCTACTTAGAGGCAGCAGCAGCAGCAGCAAGAGCAGCAAACCCTAAGACAATTAAACAGATAATTAATAATACTATATATGAATTAAATAAAGATTATATTTCTTCTTATTTATAGAGCAGCAGCAGCTGCTGCTGCTGCTGCTCTGCAGCAACAGCAGCAACGGCAGCAGCTCTTGCTGCTCCCGTGTGTTCCAGTATGGTGACCACCTGTAGACTGCAGCAGCAGCAGCAACAGCAGCAGCAGCAGCAGCAAACCTTCTATAAATATTGTTTAAATGTATTAATTAACACTTGCTGCCTCTTATAATGAAGGTGTCAACAGCAGCAACAGCAGCAGCAGCAGCAGCAACAGCAGCAGCAGCAGCAGCAGCAGCAGCAGCTAGGAATCGCGCCCCACCGACCTCACCACCCTTAAGACTCGATGCCCCCCTTGTGTCTTTCTTTCTTTTTTCTTTGCTGCTGCAGCAATAATATATTGTCTGCTGCAGTTATTTAGACTAATTATAGCAGCAACAGCAGCAACAGCAGCAACAACAGCAGCAACAGCAGCAGCAGCAGCACAAACCGCCCCCCTGCAGGGTTGGTACTACACATGCATGTCTACATAAGAGAGACTCTCCTCTCTTGCTGTTTTTTATTCCTCCTCCCTCCTAGCTGCATGCAGTAGTAGCAGCAGCAGCAGCAACAGCAGCAACGGTAGTCGCAGCAGCAATTACAGCAGCAACAGCAGCAACAGCAGCAACAGCAGCAGCAGCAGCAGCGCGACTGCCGTCTGCGCCAACGTGCTGCTGTTCCCCTATCCTTCTGCTGCTCAAGCAGCAGCAGGAGGCACCTGATTACACCAAGCAGCATCTGCAGCAGCAGCAACAGCAGCAAACCCTGCTGCTGCTGCTGCTGCTGTCCAGGCCTACCCAGCATGCAAGAGAGCACTACTAGCCAATCAGGTGTTGCTGCATGCCGTCTGCTGCTGCTGCGGCTGCTGCAGAATGGTTATACTGCAGCAGAAGCAACAGCAGCACTTAAGGAAGGGAAGCTGCTGCAGCAGCAGCAGCAGCAGCAGGATCTGCTGCATGCATTAGCTGGATTGCTCGATGAATGCCTACAGGAACAATCTAATGATGACACAGCTGCAGCAGCTAAGCTGCAGCAGCAGCAGCAGCAGCAGCAAGGGGATACAGAGAACGAGCGTCCTTCACAGCAGCAGCAGCAGCAGCAGCAAGAGATGCAGCAGCAGTCTCCGCCAAGCAAACGGGCACGTTTAGCTGCAGCAGATAGCAGCAACAATAGCAGCAAGGAAACAGCAGCAGCAACAGCAGCAGCAGCAGCAGCAGCAGGACTAGATGATGTATTAGGTAGAGGCACGCTGTCTCAGGAGTTGCTGCTGCTGCTTGTCTCCTTGCTGCAGGAAGTGCAGCAAGTACCTGCTGCTGTGTCTGCTGATTCTGCTGCAGCAGCAAGCAGATGCATGCGTCTCTTCTTCTCTAATCTATCAGGTCTACGTGCAGCAGCAGCAACAGCAGCAACAGCAGCAGCAGCAGCAGCAGCAGCAGATGAGACCTTCAGCAGCAGCAAGGAATGGCAAAAGTTGATGGAGCGTCGTGTTGCTGCAGTATGCCAGCTGCTATCTGCATGCAGGGCGTCTGCTGCTGCTGCTGCTGCTGCTGCACCTACAGCAGCAGCAGCAGCAGATAACGATGCTCTATGGAGACGCTGCAGCAAACAGCTGCTGCTGCTGCGCCAATGGGTACACTATTTTGCTGCTGCTGCAGCAGAGCGCAGCAAACTCGTGCAGCGGCTGTCTGCATGCAGCCAGCTGCAGCCATTAGATACTATGCTGCCTAATACAGATAATAATAAAGTAAGCTGCAGCTGCTGCTGCTGCTGCTGCTGTCGTTGCTGCTGTTGCTGCTGCTGTTAATGCTGCTGATGAGGAGGAGCAGGAGGAGGAGCTTGCTGCTGCAATTGCTGCTACTGATTATGAGGGTGCTGCTGCTGCTGTTGCTGTTGCTGCTGCTGCTGATGAGGCTGCTTGTGTTGCTGCTGCTGTTGCTGCTGCAGCTAGAGGAAGAAGTAGGCCGTGCCTTCGCGCTGCTGCAGCAGGAGCTGCCGCTAATTGGATCGACACCTGAAGCAGCAGCAGCAGCAGCAACAGCAGCAAAATCAGCAGAGGCAAAGCTGCGAGCTGCAGCAGACAGATGGAGAGCTGAACAGGTACTGCTGCTGCTGCTGCTGCTGCTGTTTCTTGCTGCTGCTGCTGCTGCTGCTCTTACTGCAGCAGAATAGGTCGAGCTGGCAGCACAAAGCATGCTCCTGTATGATTTGCTGTTGCTCTTGCTGCACCGTATTACTGCTGCTGCTGCTGCTGCTGCTGCTGCTGCTGCTGCTGTTTGTGCTATAGGAACGGGTACGGCAGCAGCAAGAAGAGATACAAAGAAGGAATGCCTTCTCTAGGGCCTGTGTCCAATTCGTGCTGCAGCGGCAGCAGGAGCAGCAGCAAGCAGCAGCAGCAGCAGCAGCAGCAATGATTGGTACCCCAGCAGCAACTGCTGCTGCTGCACGCAGCAGAGCTGTTGCTCATCCTTTTTATATTCTTGGCATTAACCCACAAACTGCAACAGAAAAAACTGTACGTAGAGCAGCAGCAGCAGCAGCAGCAGCAGCAGCAGCAACAGCAGCAGCAGCAGCAGCACCAACTGCAGCAGCAGCAGCAGCACCAATTAGAATAATTGCAGCAGCAGTTGCAGAAGCAGCAGCAGATTGCTACTTTGCTGTCTCTCATTATGCTGCTGCTGCTGCTGTGTGTGCTGTTGCTGTTGCTGCTGCTGCTGCTTCTGCTGCTGCTGCTGCTGCTGCTGCTGCTGCAGGTAGCAGTAACAAGGAAGAAATGGCGGGCTTTGCTGCACCCTGATAAATTTCATTCACAAGAGCAGCAAATGCAGCAGCAAGCTAATGAGGCATTTAAGGCTGTACGTCCTGCTGCTGCTGCTGTTGCTGCTGTTGCTGCTGCTGCTGCTGTTGCCGTTGCTGCTGCTACTGTTGTTGCTGCTACTGGATGTGGCGTGTTACATCTTGCTGCTGCTGTTGCTGCTGCCTATACTGTTCTCTACAAGGCTGCTACTGCTGCTGCTGTCCCTGTTATACGTCCCTCTATGGCTGCTGCTGCTCTTACTGCTGCTGCTGCTGCTGCTGCTGCTGCTGCTGTTTGCTGTTTGCTGCAGTATGAGGAAGCATGCACAGAGGCGCTGCGTTTGCTGCGAAGCCGTTCTATGGATTTAACTTGGGCAGCACCTCCCCCTCCTCCTACACCAGAAGCAGCAGCAGCAGCACCAGCAGCAGCAGCAGCAGCAGCTTCTGGTGGTTCTGCTGCATCTGCAGCATCAGCAAATGGCACATCTGTGTCTTCTACAACGAACACCAGCAGCAGCAGCAACAACAACAACAGCAACAGCAGCAGCAGCAACAGCAGCAGCAGCAACAACAGCAGCAGCAGGGTCCAGTTACCTACAAGTAGTTATATACCTGATGCTGCTGTTGAGCCTTTGCCTCGTCGTCGTGCAACGGGAGCCTTTCGGGTGTACGTACAGGCTGCATGCGTGAGTGCAGCAGCAGAGGATGGTGCAGCAGCAGCAGCAGCAGCAGCAGCATTCCGGTGTATAACAAGGATTTGGGTGTACGTACACCGGCCTATAAGGGGGGGCCCCCCTGTGTCTCTGCAGCCAGCAGCAGCAGGACTAAGCAGCGTGCTGCAGCAGGATGTGTTACTTGCTGCAGCAGAAGATGATATAGCAAGAGCAGCAGCAGCAGCAATTGCTGGCAGCAACTGCAGCAGCAGCACTGCTGCTACTATTGATTGTGCAGGAGTGCAGCCGCTGCTGCTAGAGCAGCAGCAAATATACTGGATAGGTATACAGGTAATGAATCAGCAGCAGCAGGTATCCTTAGTTAATTGGTTGCCGCTGCAGTTAACATTAGCTGTACCTCCTCTTCCTCCGCTGCAGCAGCTGCAGCAGCAGATACTGCAACAGCAGCAGCAGCAGCAGCAGCAGCAAAAGGAGGAAGAAGCAGAGCAGCACGAACCCTCTATCTTTAGTAGTGATGAAGAAATAGATAAAAAGAAAAAAAGAAAAAAAAAACAGCAGCAGCAGCAGCAGCAGCAGCAGCAGCAGCTTGAGCTGCTGCATACTGCAGCAAAAGCAGCAAAAACGCAGCTAACTGCCTTTATTGGGGCCCCATTCCTTTCTGTGCTGCAGCAGCAGCAGCTGCAGCAGCACATACATAAACTGCAGCAGACTGCATCTGCTGCAGTGCAACAAAACCAAGCAGCAGCAGCAACAGCAGCAGCAGCAGCTAGCTGCCATGCTGCTGTTGCTGCAGCAAGAGAGCTGCTAGAGCAATACATGCATCAGGCAGATGCATGGGCAGATGGGTACCAAGAGTAACCAAGACCTGCTGCTGCTGCTGCTGCTGCTGCTGCTGCTGCTGGTAAGCAGCAGCAACAGCACTAGCTTGGGCTGCTGCTGTTCGTCTGCTTGCTGCCTGTTGCATGCGCAGCAGCAGCAGCAGCAGCTGTCGCTTTAGGCAACTAAACTACACTAGATACACAACGATCTGCTGCAGTGCAGAAACTGCAGCACAGCAGCAGCAGCAGTTGCTGCTGCTGCTGCTGCATGCATTAATGCATGCATTGCCTCATATACAATTCTTTAAACGCAAAACAATTGTCTTTCCTGCGCAGCAGCAGCAGCAGCAGCAGCAGCTGCTGCTGCTGCTGCTGCTGCAGCAGCTAAAAAAAGCGCAGAGTGACTCTGCTGCACTATACTCAACAGGTTGTCTAGTGAATTGCTGCAGCTGCTGCAGCAGCAACAGCAGCAGCAGCAGCAGCAGCAGCAAGATTAGCCCCACTGCAGCCAACTGTCTAGTCTACCTGCACGTACAGCAGCAGCATCTAATTGCTCAGGCAGCAAATGTGTTGTAGCAACAACAGCAACACCTGCTGCTGCTGCTGCTGCTGCTGTTGCTGCTGCTGTGGGGTT